GTGTGTCGGATGGTTGGCTGGGACATTCCATTGAGTTCAGGACTCTTGGAAATGCAAGGTTAGGCATTTTCGCATTTTTTTTCGTTTTTCGAGCCGGACGGTCCCGTGTGGGACCCGCTACCGGTATTGTCATGCACTGGGATTTTTGTTGGGTCCATTTATATTTTATGCATTTTATTTTATGTGACATTTATATGATGGTGCATTATATATGTATGTGGTGTAGAATTAAAGATAAAAGAAAAAGGAAAAACAAAATATAATATGTGGGACCCACCATTATCACATAAATGTGTTAGAGACCACAATTTAGTCTCACATTCTGAATTCTCTCTCTCTCTCTCTCTCCCACTCCCGTAACTCTCTCTCTCTCACTCCCTTTTGTCTTGCTTTTTCTTTTCTTTTTTTTACATTCAAACTTTAAATCAAGATTTCTCATTCAATTCTTAGAGTTTTTGGAAGCCATTTGCGGCAAATCGAAGCTCTCAACAAAGCCTTCGAATCTATACCAGCGAATTCAAATTTGGTGCCCCTAGGAATTTTGAAATCTAGACCCATTTTGGAGGGGTTTGCTCAAATTTGAGGCAGATGTTCTTAATCCATGAAAATCTTGCACTTTAGTGAATTACTCTTCTTAAATTGTTGCTTCGCATGAAATAATTGCTTATAATTTAAAGAATTGTTGATTGTTGTGCATATATGTTAATTGTGTGACTATATGTACTAAATGGTCTATATCAAGAGCATGCCTAAGTTTTGATTTTCATATGCCTATCATGCTAGATTTTATTGTATGAAATCATGTCACAATTTGCTTGCAAATTCTTGTGCGTTATACCTTATTAGTGAATCTTGAGCTAGTTATGGAATTATGAAGGTGGACATGACATTGATGCCTCCATACATTAACATCGGGCATAGAAAGGGGAAAAATTGTTTTGGAAATAAAAAGGGAAATTTTGGGGAAGAAGTTTTGATTAAAGAGATTTTTAGAAAACCCGGTTATCGCGGAGTCACTAAAGGGCAGGTAGGTTAATGTAACCTAGAGAGAACTAGGGAGATTGCCCTAGCGTGGTTGAGCTATCTGGCCCTATAATGACGCTACGGAGGTACCAACGATCAGGGATAGTAGCCAATCCTTCTCTCGGCACTGAGGGGGTACCAAAGGGGGTTACATTAATAGTTTGAAAGTGATGGATTTTGAATGAGAAAATGGGGAGTAACATCGGCATGCATTGCATTCCATTGCATCACATTGATTATATTAAGATTGATTGTTATGTTATATTAACCCGGTTTAGTATGATCCTCATTCCCATTGCTCTATTCTATGTTTGGATTCACGGGGACACAAGAGGCATGTCTTAAGTGCCACCTGCTGAGCAAATTGCTCACCCCACCATACTTAACATTTTTCAGGTCTTGGAAAGGAATTGGCAAATGACAATCCACCAGGCCATTCTTTTGTATACTCACTGTTTTGGAAATGTAATCAATATTAACATATATGGTCTTGTAATTTAAGAATGAATCTCATCTCTTATTTGGTGTAAATGGGACTAATGTAACAATCGTGTAAAACTTAGGTAAACGATTTCAAATGATGTTGTATTGTGATTATGGTTGGCTCTTTTGTCTATAATCTTAGGATGATTGATGATTGATTATTTACTTCGAGTTTAAATCCATTGTAAAGTCTCTTATTCAGCTCCCTTTCAATTTGCACAAAGCAGTAGTTCAGTTTCAGCTTATGGGTTCGAGGGATCCATTTCGGTCGACTGAAATGGTGCATCGGTCGACTGAACCTAGAAGGTGCTCTCAGGATCTCCTGTTTCGGTCGACCAAAATGGGGTTTGATCGACATAACCATCTTCATTCTCTCAGGATCTCTCATTTCGGTTGACTGATGGGGGGTTTCGGTCGACCGGTTCTTGAGGGCCTGCTTCGGCCGACTGAAGCTCCACTTCGGTTGACCGAAGTTCATCTGTTGTGGTGGTTTTGTTCTTCCTTCTTGTTTTTTTTTCACCCTCGACTTTTGGGGATTTTGTTTAGAGCTTTATGAAAACTTAACGATGATCCTAATGACGACGCTTGACGCTAGAAATGATGTGTTTGACGTAGATAACCTCGGGTTCGAGTAAGGACCCGGCTAACGGTTCGGACCTCCGGGTCCGGGGCGTTACAATAACTTCAACACTTAAGCCATTTTTCTTCAAATAATTTTGGAAACGTCTTTTTCTTCGACACTTAAAATATTTTTGGGATGAATCTTTAACAATGCTCGATCACTATGCCTTGGAAGTTGGGCTCGAGCCTTGAGAACAAAAGCTCGAGCTTTGGCAACCTGGAGTTCTTCAAAGTGTCTTCTCATATTCCGACGTAATTTAGGTTTGAGCACTCTTGCAAGGGCTCGAGCACCTTAAATTTGGGCTTGAGCCTTGTTTGCCTTAGTTAGAATTCTTGTTTCAGTTGAACTCTGACTCGAGCCTTAAGAACATAGACTCGAGCTCTAACACTTGGACTTCTCCAAAATCACCATTTTAACTCTAGACTTGCTTTAAATGACCTACAATGACTCAAGATTCCAATGCAAATTCTGCAACTTTTGATATTAGTCTTTTTATCTTAAAAACTTGGTTTTAACCATTTCTTTGGGAAAATACCCAAAACATAAAATAAACATAAATCAGTCTAAAACTGGATAGAAGTATCACTTAAGGTCTTAATATATGCGTATTTAGAGGTTCGAATATGCAATATTCAGCGTTTATCACAAATATAAAATTTTATAAACTTTCCTTGTATCTTGGGTTACTTAGGTTGCTCGGGCTTCTAAAATATTTACCCAAATTCCACCCAAAACAAAGTTGAGTTCTAAGATTCAAATCTAATCCCATATCTAATGATCTCATATTCTTTTTATCCTTCTTACCCGTGTTCATACAAATTTCAAACGATACTTAAAGGGTTAATTACAACGACACCCCCTGAGGTTTACCCTATTAACAGTCATATACAACTTAGTCGTTTTTTGAACAAATACACCCCCTTAGATTTGATAAAGTTAACAAAGACACTCCAATGGTCATGAATTGACATTATTATTCTTTGACAGATTCAATTACCAATTTACCCAATACAACTATTTTTTATTGACCAAAATACCCCAGAAACTATACTCATACCAGTTCACACCCACCACCACCATTTAACCGCCTTACCATAGCCGCCGGTACCGCCACCACCACAATGGTGCTTGAAATAAAGCTGTCAAGCATCACAAAATACAAAATAAAAAGTGCAAAGATCAACTCCTAATCTCTTTGTATAATATACAAACATATATGTGTATTTATAACCCGTAATCCATCTTCTTTCCCAAATCCACTTCCCCTAAATTCCTGTAATCTATCTTTTTCCTACAATACACACACACACACACACACACATATATATATATATATATATATATATTGTGATTAATCAAACCACCACCGCCATCATCGTTCTTCTCGCCGGAGTAGTGGAGCCACAGCATCGGGTCGTTGTTTTCTCTAGCCGTCAACGTTGTCTGGTATGATGGTCGCCTTCGTCGAAACTTCCATTTGTCGTTGCCGTCGTCGGGAATCACGGTTGGATCACAAGCTTTTGTTTGGTGGTGGGTTAGCGTCGGTGCGATGGCAGCGGCTGTGGTTGTTGGGGAGAGGCAGCTGTGGTTGTTGGGGAGAGGCGGCGGCGACTGTTGTTGGCGTCGGTGCGATGGTGGTGGCTGTGGATGAGAAGTGGTGGTGGCAGCTGTGGTTGTAGGGGAGAGGCGGCGACTTTTGTTGGCGTCGGAGAAACAGCGGCTGTTGTTGGCGTCAGAGAGACAACGGCTGTTGTTGGCGTCGGAGAGACGGCTGTGGTTGAGAAGGGCGGCGACGGCTGTGGTTGAGAAGGACTGCGACGGCTGTGGTTGAGAAGGGTGGCGACGGCTGTTGTTGATTATGAAGTGGCGACGATGGTGGATCAAGACGCAGAGGCGACGACGACGGCGGGTCAAGATGGCGGCGGATCAAGAGGTAGCGGCGACGACGGCGGGTCAAGACGCAGAGGAGACGACGGATCAAAATGGTGACGGTGGCGGATCTAGATGAAGGGGGCTCTGAGATTTGGTTATGTGTGTGTGTGTGTGTGTATATATATATATATATATATATATATATATATATATATATATATATGAGATGTATATAGGATGAAATTGCCCTTCAATGTTTAATTATTTTTATGGTAAAATATTATAACTCATGAAAAGTCAAATTTGCCTTTATATATATATATATATATAACTATATATATATATATATATAAAGGCAAATTTGACTTTTCATGAGTTATAATATTTTACCATAAAAATAATTAAACATTGAAGGGCAATTTCGTCTTTTCAAATGTTTTAAGGGCTTGTTTGGATAAGAAATTCTCACAAGGGGTGTCTTTGTTCAAAAAAGGACTAAATTGTATATGACTGTCAATATAGTAAACTTTAAGGGGTGTTGTTGTAATTAACCCATACTTAAATTACTCATGTTAGGCCAATGTAAGTCTCACCCCCATTTGAACTAACCTTAATGGTGCTTCTCGTACCAATGATATTAACACTTTTTATCCTTTTTAATCAATTGTATCATATTAAGTAGATTATTAAACATATTTGGCTCATATTCCTAACATGTTGAGGTAACTCATGGACCCCCAGTTAGGAAATGAACTAATCCGATTACCGCCCGAAAATTTTATAAAGTTTGGGACTAGGATTGATTTTAAAATTTTAAACCTAAATTTATTTTGGGCAGTGCAACCCACCCAATTAACCACTAAAAACCACCGTATTTGTTTTACAAAGTTTTCCTCCAAAATTTTCAAATCGTCCCGCGTCTTTATCATCCCTCTCAGGTACCCCTCTCTTCTGAGTTCTTTCTCTCTCTTCCTTTTTGAATCGTACGCTCTTCAACCTCTGTCTCTAGCTTGTTGGAGAAATGGGGAAGCAAATAAAATCCAAGAAAACAGAGAACTTGGGTAAAGGGAAGGTCACTCCCGTCCAAATTGCCTTCATCGTCGACCGATATCTCTCCGACCACAACTACACCCAAACTCGTTCTACCTACCGAACCGAAGCCTCACATCTCATCGCCGATTCTCCAGTTCAAGAGGTACCCACTTATGCATATTACACTGTTTTACATTTATATGCTCCCGATTTCTTTTTCTTCATGATTAATTGGTGTTTAATCTGGAGATCTACATGGGTTTTGCAGGCACCGAAGAGTTTGTTGAGTTTAGGGGCAATGTTGGATGAGTACATTTGTTTGAAGGAGCAGAAGGTTATGTTCGATCAAGAAAAGTTCAAATTGGAACAAGAGAAATTTCAGGTCCAGACACTGTTGCGTGGTATGCAAGATGTGATGAATGCTTACAATGCTGGCGGAAGCAGCAATCCTCTGCCGCCTAGGGTTTCGAGTACGGCCCCAAAACCATCTGCTATGCTTCCCAAGAATGACCAAACTGTTGGGTCCCCTGCAGGTACCATTTTTAGGCCAGACATTGGTTCCAGCTGATTTCTTGGCATTTATGGTGTTTATGTGGAAGATTTGTTCAATTTCATGAGATTATGACTGCGTTAGTTACAAGATATTGATCAAAACTTGGCATTACTGCATAAGCCAAATCAGAATTGAATGTCTAAACTCTGATTATACTTCCAAATGGCCTCAGATACTTAGGGTCAGCCTCTAAATAACTATTAGGCCTTAATCAGAATTATGAATCTAGGAAATGTGTCTTAGACAGCAGGGTCAGCCTCTAATTGCACTCTTAGCCCTTAATCACAATTATAAATCTAGAAAATGTGTCTTAGACTGCATTTTACATTGCTCTAATACTCAACCTGCATATCTACATTATTAGGAGCCACATTCTTAGAGATTCATTGTTTGATGTAACGTTAAAAGCTGAGTCTGAACAAGCATGAAAAAAAAAAAAGGTGTTTTGAGTTGAAGACCAATAACTCAGTTGAATTAATGTTAAAAATTAGGTTTGTAGTTTGTCCACCCCCTCAATCTGTTTTTATTTTTATTTTATTGTTGGATGTGTCCAGATTGTTTTCTAGTTACAAGCATATCTTAATTCACCAAATTGAGAATGTAGAAGTCTTATGTGTGAGCTGCAGAGCTTGTTCATAAATTCAATGGTTTAAATATTATATTATGCTTTATTTTGGTTAAGTTTGAAGCTGAAAATTTTATACAAAATTACAAATCTTCAAGTTTAAAGCCATTAGCTTAAATTATCAATAATTTTCTGTGACATGGATGAGTTCTCTATGTTCCATTAATTCATGCTTGTGGATCATAAAAAAATAATTATGATTTTTTTTTCTCCCTTAAGCATCGAGGATAATGTAGCGCATTTAATTTTTTATCATTCATAATGCCACCTCTGAATGAATAGGCTCCAGGCAATTGGCAGTGGTTGCCTTGATTATATCATTTTTTGGAAGTACTATATTTGCATCCTACTTGAAAATGTGTTCAGTTGATAGAGGAACTTGAGGTCCTCGACTGTGGGAGCTGCACTTCACTAGGCCAAAAAACTTGTCTACTGTTTCAAGATTCAGTTCCTAGGACTTGTCTTTGTTTGTTAGGATCAAGATTCTGTTCTTTTTGGTGCAATGGCTGGGTTGTGTAGCCCAATCATTGGCGGGGTTTTTTATTTTTTATTTTCAAAAAATGAGAATAGAGTAATTGGTTAAAATTCTCATATTCAGTCTTCTTCATGAATGTAATGTGGATCTTTTTGGATTTTTTCTCTCATTGATCACAGAGGGAAAGAAATACAATTATTGTTCTCTCTCTTTTTTTTTTTTTTTTTTTTTGTCTCTTCGTTTTTCAACTTGGTGCTTTCTAAAACGACAAAAAATTATTCAACCAGCAGTTGCTTAGCTCCAAAAAATGACAGTTCTTCAGAATTGACCTTCATTTTGATGATGACAGGTCTGATGTACAGCACTCCAGTTATGATGACTGCATCTAGGCCCTCATGCACTCGTATGGATCCTGCCAATTTCTCCACTCCAGTGACAAATCACCCAATTTTGAAGAGACTAAATGATTCAAAAGATGTTCCATATGCTCCTGTAACTGCGAAGAGACCTCGTGGTCACTTAAAAGGGAACCGGTTGCTTGCTAAAGGTATATCGTAACTGGAGTTGCATGCTCATACAATTTTCGTATTTATCCTTAAATTGATACTTACATCCATTTTCCATGTAGGAACTGGCATTCTTTCACAATCAAGTAATATAGCCAATAATCAAGAAAATGCTTTGCCATTGTGTGCAGTCCAATCAATATCCCGTGATAATGTACCTAAAGGTTCACCAGTTCAAGGATCCAGTGTTGCCAAGTGTTTGTTCAACCAGCCTAGTCAATCCCCTCCAACTAATTCATCTGGTCCTAAGACCCCTCCCCTTGAAACTTCCTCTCAAACTAACAAATCTGTTTCTCCACTGGAAGTAATTTCCGGTGCTACTTCCAGTAACAATGTCAGTACCCCCCAGCATGTTATCTCCACTAATTGCACCCAAATCTCCTCGAAGGCAATTAGGGTGAGCCCTGTCAAACAAATAGCTTACCATTCCATTGAGAGAAATCATTGCATTTCTTCATCACCAGTCAAGACAAGCTTGAAGAGGATTGGCAAGAGAGATCATGTAAAAGGAAAGCTAGATTTTGATGGTTCTGACATGCCAAAAAACTCAGAAAACCCATTTAATGCTGGGGTTACAATATCTCAATCCAATGAAGAAGTGGATATTTTTGACTTTGATTTGCCTAATTTAGATGCTTTGGGTGTGGATTTTTCCCTCGCTGAGTTGTTGGTTGATTTTGATCTTGACGGTCAAGGAACTGATTATTCTTGCAAACCAGCCTTGGGTTCTCCTGACTCCATTTCAGGGTAAATCTTTCCTCCGACTTGCATCTTCTTTTTTCAAGACAGAATTTGTTTCTACTACCCTCAATACTACCATCTAACTTTATTTCTTTTATCCTTTTGGAATTATATACACAGGTCCCCAAACAAATTAGGGGATATTGAAATGGCGGCAAATCAAGTTTTATCTGAGTTTTCTTCAACTGCAACAGAAACTCTTTCAGAGAAAGACATGAATATACAAGGTAATGGGACTCCTTTTTGTTACTATTTCATTTTATCGTATATTTTGTGATAAATTGAGTTTTTTTTCCCATGCGTTCTTACTTGCAGACCCAAATTCTATGACCTCTCCGAAGTCCATAACAAAATGCATTAAGATTTTAAGTCCTGGTATGTTATCATTTAGTTTTCCTATACCTTTTTTTTTTCCCCCTCCAAATTTTGTTTGAAAGATTTAGAATTGTTAATATCAGTTCTTTGTTTTTCATTTCAGTGAAAAATCGAACAAGCTCTCCTCCAGATCAGGAGAATTTATGTGCAAGAAACTGACTGGTTTAACAATAATGTTCCCTTTTATGCTGACATGGTACCAGTACAGTACTTACCAATAGAATTTACAAGTCTGTGTTAACAATAATGTTCATGGTATGGGTACAGTACACTACTTTACATTAATGTTTACAAGTATGTTCAACGTTTTGAAAAAATTGCCTGAACTAACATTTGTTCACTAATTTCCATCAGATTACCTATTAGTTTCATACCAGAAAAACTTTGTATGGTGTCTGCCTGTCTGGTGGAAACTTATACCTGTCAAAGCATACTCATCTGATGACTTGTCTTTAATGAATTAATATTTCTGTTCCTTTTGCTATTCATCGTGGTCTTGGTTGAAAGTTGATTGTGCTTGGATGAATTTTCTGGGTAAAAACTGATTTGGAAATGTTTACCTTTTCCATTGGTAAAATATTTCTATATTGTTATTGCTACAACTATAGATTTGTTTCGCTTGCTTTCTTCTTCTGCTTCTTTTACCAAGTTTCGACTAGTTTTCTATTCTTAGCTACCAGTTTGATTGATCAATGGGCTGGTTTTCAATGGTTTTGGCATTGGCATTGGCATTGTGGTTTGGGAATGCAAGGCTGGTAACAGTTTATGTGTTTCCCTGAGCCCCAGTCGGTTTGTTTTAGTCCTTTCTTGTTATTATGGTTCTTGGGGAATAAGTGTCCACTGGAGTTTAATTAGGTTTGGTTCCAACAAGGGCCCACTCGATCTAGCTCAAAGTTATGACATAGTTGAGAAATGGTTTGGGAATAAAATAGGTCATAGGCAAATTTCTGGTTGGTTGGGCTTTCACAAACTGGGTTCTACAGTTCATACTGATTAGAATGGTTACTCTTGATTTACAGTTTGTTCATTCATGTTAGGAGCACAAAATTGAGTTGATTACGTTTTTGATCCGTATTGGAACCTAATTGATTTGAACCTTAAGGACATTATTCAAGCTACACTTGGTAAATTCAAATAAAACATAGCTTGGTGAAATTGGATTTGGGTGGGATAGAATTTAGGGCTTGCTTGGTTTGTAATTATTGAAACAGTTTTTTGTTCTTGAAAAATTGAAAACCGAAAATTGTACAAAAAATTTTGATTGATTCAATTTTCTGAAAATTATTTTGTGAAAATTCAGTTATAAAAATGTCTTTTTTTAGATAATAGTTTTTTTATAGTAATTTTTATTTTATGAGTTTCTGAGAATTGTTTTTAGAGTTACAAATCAATCATCTTATGCTCTATTTCACATGCTGGAGGAAGTGGAAACGAATTAGAAACAAAAGTTTTACAATTTGTTTAATGTTTACGACTCTTAAGCAGCGAATCAAACATTTATTTTCTTGAAGGTATGGCGAGTAGTGAGAACTAACAACTGTACACCTACAATTTTTAATTTTTAATTACTAAAGTGAATGTGTTTGTCATTTCAAAAAATCTTCAGTTGGTGATTGTTTCAGTTTTGGCTTTGGGTATGGGCATTGTTGTGAGATGTAATCATGTAAGAGGGGAAGTAGTAGGTCTAACTAATATATCTTGAAAAAAAAACAAGGCTCATGGGATGAAATCTAGGAGGCGATGTCGATGTTAAAAACAAATGGAGGGCCGATAATTGTCTTGATATGAACACGCATGTTGTCTGTTTTCTGCAGTTAATTTGATGTTTTGGTTATTCTATCAAAATTGGAGTTTTAGAATATGACTGAAAACAATAACTTACTACATGTATATATAGCATGGATGGGAACTCTTTTTTCTAGAATGGGGAAGGTAAGAAAATGAGAAAATTCGTTAGACAAAGCTTTACGTGTTTTGGGCGGAAGGTATTTATTTATTCTTTCAAAAGTTAAAATTCTAGATTCTTCTTCTTCTTCCAAGTCCAATTCAAAGTTTAAGACTGATGTATACAATTGCGTTATACCTTAATTGCGCTGTGACTTAAAAGAGACAAGTGGAGGCATATTTAATTTACGAAGCTGACTGTTTTGACATTTACGCTTTAATATTTTTTTTGTAAGTTTTAAAATCAAACTTTGCTATTGAATCATAAGTCTCTGTTGGATAAGAAAGAAAAAAATTGAATGGAAGCGATAAAAGAAGGAATAAATGAGACATTTTTAAAGAAGAGATTATGTACTTCTTTTTTTTTGTTCAATTGAATAGAAGAGGAAAATAGATTCATAATTTTAATATATTCATTGAGAGAGAAAGAAATAAATTTTTTTAATTATTTTTACTATTATATTCAATGATATTTATAATATTATAATATATAGAGGATAGTATTTACCTTTGTAAAAAGAAGAATCGGTCATCCTTTCTATTCTCATTTCTTTCTTTGTATTATCTCTACCGAATAAAGAAAATTTGTTTATTTTTTTCTATTTTTTCTCACACCTCTTTCTTCCTTCCTACCGTTAGACCTGTTAATGGATCGGATCGATCAAATCCATATCCTATTTGTTAAGCAAACGGATTATCGGATTCGGATCACTAACAGGTTCTCGGACTGAATGTCTCAATTCATATCCTATTTAGCTCGGACTTGGATCGGATTCGAAATCGGATTAAATTAATATTTACTAACATATATAATTATAAAGAGTATGATTTTATTAATATGTGTATTAAGAGATTTATTAGCATGTGGATGAGAGCACCACAATATTTTTATATAACATTATTATTATTTTGGATTTTTGAGGTACCTTTAATACAATTCTAATAGGAGTATTGATATATATATTTGTAAAATTATTGATAAATAATTATATATATAATTTCAATCGGATTGGATCGGTTTTTTATCGGATCGGATCAGCATAATCTATATTTGATTTGTTAAGCTAACGGATTATCGAATTCGGATCGTAACCGGGTTATTGTATTTTTTGTTCAATCCATATCCGACTAATCGGATCGGATTCGGATCAGAATCTACTCCATTGATAAGTCTATCTACCATATACGGCATACTATTATAATAGTTTAATCGAAAATGTCAATAAGAAATTATTTATGACTAACTGTAGTGGTTAAAGTATTAAGTCTAAAAACAATGTCAATATCAATCATATTTGCGTAGAAGAAACTTCAAAGCTTTTAAGAAGACTAGGAAGTTTGAAACCCATATTAGTTTTGAAGTCTTTAGCCCGCCGGCTTCATAAAATTCGTGGTACCATGACTTTCCTAACACGCTCATCTTCACCGTCTATGGGATGCCACGTAGCAGTCCTTTGATGTGAATCCGCAAAACTAACGACGCCACCTCTTTCTGCCTCTCTATTGGACGTTGACCCTTCAACTTTTCTCTTTTTTTGTTTTTTTTGTTTTTAAGTCTTCGGCTTTAGCTCTCCTCACCGGGGCTCCAGCTCTAGACTGATTATGCATTAGATAAAAAAACGTAGAGGTCTCATTTTTTTTATAATTAAAACGTATTGACCAATCAAAAATAATAATACGTTACACATCAAGTTGTGATTGGTCAAGGACTAATGTTAGACAGGTGAGGTTAAAATTAAGAATACTATCAAAATTCAGAAAACCTATAAAAGGAAATATAAGTATTATCACTAATCATAATTTCCCCTTTTTTTAAAAAGGTTGTTATTCGACAACTCTTTGTGCATTATGAGACAAGTAGGTAGTTATTTCCAAACAAATTAAAGTTCCATTCATGTGGGGAATTTCTAGAGTCAACATTTTTAATTGGTTATACAATGTTGTCATTTTTTATATATATATTTTGGGTAAGTAAGCTTTTATTACCAATTTTTTTCTTCTTTTAAGAAAGGTATGCGCTTATAACCAATCAAAAATAGTAACATGTTACCAAATTATTGCACATTAAATGCAATAATTAATTATTTATTTATTCCCAGTATGAAATTGTCGAAATTTTTTTATGATATATATTTTAAAATTCAATCTCATTTAAAATTCTTTTTTAGCTCAACATAAAGAATCGTAACTTAAATATAAAAATGGTGCCAAAATAAATAAATAAATATATATATATATACACACACACATTGAGGGTATAAATAAAAAAATTATTTATTATTACATTTAATGTGCAATAAATTTGATTAAGAATCAAAATTCAATAATTTCAAAGGTAACAATTATAAATAATTCAATAATTCCCAAAAATTATTATTATTATTTTTTTATTACATTTCATGTGCACATAACACCCTTTTATTATGAGATTAGTAGCATATTACCATTTTGGAAGTTGCACAAAGTCTTTTTCGGTCATTTTACAAAATGAATTATTTTTTTAATATTTTTTATAAAATGTTAAAGTAAGATAATTTTAGTTTAACTCACCTTTAAATATTTGGGTAAGGCCTAGTTGCATAAATTTAATGCATTAGGATTTTTTTGTTTTTTTTTTTTGGCATGCGAGAGATGTAATATATACTATAAGTCTATAAGTATAATATAATGATATTTTTTACACTTAAACCCTTCGTGGTTAGATGTTATCTATTTAGCTAAGAGCCATATCGGAGCCCAGCCGCTGAAGAGAGACAGGACGACATGGAAACATTCAAAGAGAAAGAAACTAGAAAGAAATAAAATTGGTTCCAACTTCCAAGTGTTGGAAACTTCAACATGCGAACATCCGAACACGACTCTGTTTGGCGTCAACAAGAAAGCACGTATTATTAACCATAACATAAAAGAATGAATATTTGACATACATATATTATTAATTAATTTATTATATGACATATAAATGAAATGGACAATGAAAGAAGAACAAATTGCACAAAGAACGCGTGGGGTTGGTAACAACTTCGGACATGTCTTATAGTCTAGTAAACTGCCAGACGCGTCCCCAATTTGAAAGAACGCGTCAAATTTAGCCGGAGATACACATTTAATAATCTACTTGACTAACCAAGACGTGATGTATTTACACACCTGATTTCGCTTTCCTTTATTATATATACCATCTTTCCCACCTCTATATATACACACACATATACACATACAAACACAAAACCTCTTCTTCTATTTCACCTCATATATATCTTCCAATAAAGGACCAAAACAAAAAGAAGAACAAACAAACAAACACCATGGCCTCATCAACCAATTTCTCATTGGTTCTCTTCTTTGCTTGCTCTCTCTTCCTCCAAGGAACTCTAGGTACGTGTCTATTGTATATATACATATATATATATATATATATATATATATATATATATTCAAATGTATACATTCTTTTGTTATGTATGTATGTTAGTTTTTTTTTTTTTTTTTTATATATATTTATTGGTTGTTTTTGGTTTTAGGTGAGATTATATGTGAGAATCTGCCTACGGATATTTGTTCGTATTCGATTGCATCATCCGGGAAGAGGTGTTTGTTGGAGAACTACGCGACGGAAGATGGGAAGGTGGAGTACCAGTGCAGGACATCAGAGGTGGTGGTGGAGAGGATGGCGGAGTACATAGAGACCGACGACTGTGTCAGCTCATGTGGCGTCGACAGAAACTCCGTCGGAATCTCATCCGATGCTTTGCTTGACCCACAATTCACTGCCAAGCTTTGCTCCCCCAACTGCTACCAGAACTGCCCCAACATTATTGATCTTTACTACAATTTGGCTGCCGGAGAAGGTAACCAATTTTTCTCAATTTACCTTATTAACATATGTTTGCACAACCAATGTAACAGTAGTTTGTTTGTTTGTTTGTTTTTTTTCTTTTTAAATCTGTGTTTTTTAAAAGCAACACACTCTAAGCGAAAAGTTGAAAAATGTCCACATTTACTTAGTGATTGGCCCCGAGACCACCACATCATAATTTATCCTAAAACACTAATATATTTTTGTTAGTACAGTAATGCTATTAACAGGTTGCTCTCTATATAAAATATTATGTTATTTATAAAAATATATGCTTAAAAGAGACTATATATTTTGTCTCTTCATATATATATATATGTGTGTGTGTGTTGAATTTAGCTTGTTAACTTCATTGTTTTTACCACCAAGTTGCTGATCGATATGTTAAAGAGTTGTTATACCTTTCTTTTTTTGGGTAAATTTGTTATATATGTACCTTTCTTGTGACTTAATTTTCTTGAGCTTCACTCAAAATATATTCTTTGTGTAGTAACCAGTGATAAAAATTTCACATTCTTAGTGAATGGTGACATTTTGTTTATAATTAATATTCTAAATATTACATATGTTTTAGAATTATATTTGAATATCAGAATGTCTAACCAATATATCTATTTATACATGCAGGAGTGTTTTTACCAGATCTGTGTGAGAAACAAAGGACTAACCCTCGCCGCGCCATGATTGAACTCTTGAGCTCTGGTGCTACCGCTGGTCCTGTACCTGCAGAATTGGCGCACCATCAAGCCATGGCACCCGTGATGGCACCTGCTCCAGCTTCTATTTAATTACGTTATCATATCAAATTTTAAATCATTTTTCACATAAATATATCTGTATTATTTTTATTAATGAGAGTGGAATACATCATATTAATAATTTTCTGCAGCTTTCCTGTATACATCATATCATTTCTATTCATGGAATCATTTTCAGTTGTTGTCTATTGTTGTTTCGTTTGGAAGTTTTTAACACTGTGGAGTGATATGATTTGATATAATTTCCAATTTAAAATTGGAATTGGATTTGGATTTGGATTTAATGGGATTTGAAATCCCAAGATATAGTGCCTTCGATCAAATCTCATAAAAAAAATGGTGTAATTAGTAAATTAGTGGCGGTAGGTTTGTAACTTACCCAATTTGCCCTTATTTTTACTGAAAAATAAGTTTTTTTTTTGAAAGGTAAATAAGATTATATTGATAAAACACAGAGTTACAAACATGGTTAGCCCAGGCTAACTATACAAACGAAGGCCATATACAAAGCCCAAATAATGATAGTCCCAAGCAACCAAAATATATAACAAGAAGCCCAAATGTTGCCCAAGCCCCTATGGAGCAACAAAATGCAAGTTATCCGAAGCAGGATGCGACACTGTGCAGTGGCAAGGGGAAGATTTCCTCCTCCATGGTTAGCAGTTGTCTGGAGGTTTTGCAGGAGGTCGAATAACAGAAGCATAGAGTTCCCATTCTTCAATTATAAGGCTGGAGGCTGGAGAGTCTGCAAATTTTGAAGACATGAGCTTCAGCCTGATCAAGTCAATAATTTGTTGAAGAAGGGCATTTTGGGATAACGATGACTTCTTAAACACCCTTCAATTGCGCTCCATCCCGATGTTATACACAAGAGAGGCCAGAGCAAGTTTTGAATGAATAAGGATAAAATGGTAAGAAAAATATATAGTTCCATTATAATTAAATTCCAACTTAATCCAAACACGAAAAGAATTCATTTCAAATCCAATTCCATTTCTTATTTAATTTGTCTTTCTTTTTAGTGAAACGCAATATTGTAATTCTAATCAATAAAGATAAAATAGTACTCGGTAAAAGAAATAATAATTCCTTTATAACGTGTTCAAAACACATACAATACAAATGAAATTTCACTTCAAATGCTATCTCCCATTTTACTTTTTCTTTTTTGATTCCGAATCGCAAAAGATTTTGGTTCCCTTACTAGATTCCAAACTACCGGCCATAAAGAAAGAACCAGCTGCTTGGAGTGTTGGACATGCATAGAAATAGTAGGTAGAAGAAAATACATGTAATTAGCAAATTCTTCCAATTTGTCATGAAAATAGCATTGTTGCTGTTATGATCCACAAGTATCAGCCGCTACCAAGCTTAGTGCCACCAAGAACCACCAGGGCCAGGCTGCAGCCACCTTAACATATCACAATCATCACCACTTATTTTTCTAGCTACAGCACCTATTATATATGCCAAGTGTACGTTATATACATGTTTGATATTTGATAAACGTATTTATAATTTTACTACGAACTCGGTGTACAAGTACGTCATTCATGTAAAAGTATCGGTGCTTGGTGAACTCTAGCATTATTAGCTACATTTTGTGTTGACTTCTTCTCTATATAAAGAAATAAAATGTTTGAGATTCTTTTTATGGTTTGACCCGATTAAACTTTTATTAGGGTGGATGGCACGACCAAAGGAGTGGGCTGGACCAGAAATGGTGGGTTAGATTCAACAGTCCCGTTAAATCTCTATAACTGGGCCTATTCCATTTGGATGTTCCACAATTATCCAAATGGACAGTCTTGCGACTCTTGCTATGAAGACAGTGAATAAAGAAAGAGTATATGTTTTTACTGTTACACCCTTGCATGCAAAGCAATTAGAAATGATGCTGCTGTCAGAAAGTCCAACAAAGCAAAACGAGAGATCAGTAATTTGCTTTATCTCTTACATCAAGAGTATAATTTTTAATATTTTTTATTATAATGGTAAGAAATGAATTTTTAAAAATATCTGTGAATCCCATGTTTTTATAATTTCAGAATAAATTAGAAATATTAAAAAAATAGATTTTGAATTAGGAAGAGTATTTTGGGACAATAAAAAATGAAAAGATAAACACTTTTTGTTAGCCTAATGGAGTAAATATATAATATGTTTGTTTATTATCGTATTAAATGACTTGCAAGTGCTTTAAAAAGAGTTAGACAGTAATTTGATGATGGAAATGAATCTTACCCTTTTACAGATTTGGGCCATTGGCCACCATTTTTTGCTTGGTGCTTACATATATTTGCTGCCTAAGTGAATGCATATAATTTAGGGTAAACTATATTAAACTCCTTTTTTTCTATTTTTTTTGTCAAAAAAACTCCCTTAACTATTCAAGGGAGGGGGAGGGGGAGGGGGAGGGGGGGGGGGGGGGGGGGTGATTTAACTAACGAAAGTTAATTGAAAGAGAACTGAAATATAAATTGACTTAAATACCCATTAAAGCCTATTTGAAAATCTACTTTGCTTTTTTATTTTTTAAATAACATAAACAACATCATTCACATAAATTAACACTTCTATTGTTTTTTTTGTTTTAACATTTTACTAGACTAACAAGTTCACATTAGTCATGGAAGGAATTTTTTTTTTTTTTTATAGAAAAAAATGATATTGAAATATAAAAAAAAATAAAATAAAATAAAAAGAAGAAGAAGAAGAAGAAACATGTAGGCATAAATATTAATATAAAAAAGGATAAAAGTAGGCATTATTTCTCCTAGTGTCCATTTAATAAATCTATATAAAATAAAAATCAATAAAAACCAAATAAATGAATGCACAATATAATTTTCAAATATATATATAGCAGATAAATTTTAAGAAAAAAACCTAAATTTATATTGGTTTAAAGGCTAATGAAAATATAGTATAAATAATATTTAATGGTACATATTATGTATACCATTATATTATGATACAAATTATATATAATATTATAATGATGGAAGAGTACGTGTTGTTTGCAATGGTGGAAGATATGCGGATAAGAGTGATCATATAGTAGATATATATGTGAAAGTAATATTAAAATAGGTATGAAGATACAATATTCTGTTTCATCTCTCTTACTCTTACTTTCTCTCTCTCTCTCTTCTCCCTAGCCTTTTTTTTTCTACTTTCCACCCGTCATGGTCTATTTATAGGCCATGACCCTCTTTTGCAGTTAACCAATTACATTGGGTTTATAACCCAAAGTTCTCTTCCTTCTGGGCTGGGTCTTGTAATGAGCTTGACCTTCCTCGGTGGACCCCCCACGTTGGGCCCACTCCAGGGTGCTTTGGCATGGATCCTTCTTCAATCATTCGACCCGATCTCGTTTTCGCGATCCATATCCGGCCCATGCCACTTGCCGCATCCTCAACTGCCCCCATAATTACCCCTTATTGATTAGGGGGTAATTATTAGAGGCTGCTAATGATGACCTGACGGCTTGAGGAGATCGTGTGGGAGAATGGACGGTTAGATCTAGGGGTCGGCGCTTCGAGATTCAAAAAGACAACCCATCGCTTTCCTGACTCCTCGGCTCTCGGGCTTATCTCATCTTTATAAGCTCCATCAACTCTCCATCGATCCTCTTTACCGTCTCCATCTCACCTTTTGCTGCTTGAATCCTCTCCGGCGATCTCTTGCGAAAAATCTTCCTTCCAGTGGCTTTGCAATACTTCTCTGCCGTTTTCACTCTCTAAGGTTAGTTTCATTTGCATTTTTCTTTTGGAAGACTTCTTTTTTCTCCCCGGAATCCTCATCCACTCACACCATGACAGTAGATCTAGACGTTCTTCGCATGAAACTTCAACTTCCTGATGATGTAGAAATCAGAAACTGCCCCCGGGAAGTGAATATTAGAACCGGTGCTGGCCTTCTTCCCGGCGAGGCTTTGTTTTCACTCCTCCATCTCAATCTCCTTAGATTTCCTCTACATCATTTCTTTTGCTATGTTTTTAACAAGCTAAATCTTTCCCCTTTACAAGTAAACCCCAATTTCCTTAGGATTTTATCCGTTATGCTACTCCTGATTCGTGACAGAGGTCTGGATCTGGACCTCGTAGATCTCTTCCTCTGTTACAAGGTCAGCAAGATTAGAACTGACGAACCGTTTTACCACTTTTTCCCCATTGAGAAGAGGTCTATCTGCACGGATAAGATCAAATCTGAGAAGGGCTGGAGGAAAAACATCATTGGGGTTAGGGGAGCCTGGTTCTCTCCAGCTGCGGAGGGTTTCCCTATCCCGAGCGCTTTCGGAGAGTGCTCTGTCTCTTTTTACAAGAAATATAAAAACCATAAGAGTGACTGTCCTTGCGAGATCTGCATTCCTCGTTTTTGTTCTTTCTTATGCCATTCCTTAGGCATTCCTTGTGATGACTTGAGCTACAGTGTGTGCAGGGATAGGGATAACTACTTGAAGCGGTACGTTCTGACCAACGTTCCCTCTTGCTCGGACCTTCTCACCTCAGATAATCTCCTCGACATCTCAATTCTCGGCAAGACAATGAGCCAACTCCAGATCCCTTCCTTCGGCAGGAAGAAATCTGCCCCCAGGCCTGCTATCACTCCTGCTTCAATCTCCTCACCGGCTTCAGCGTCTTCCTCCGCTACTCTTTCTGACACTACTCCTTCCACCGATCCATCCGCGACGGCTGCTGACTCGGTCGCTAACATGGCGACTGCCAGCCCGAACGTTGCCCCGTCTGCCAACAATCCTCCTTGCTCTACTGCTGCTTCCGCACGGGAAAAGGCCAAAGGAAAAAGGCATCAACCTGACAGTGCTCTGAGCATGGATGACGTTCCCTTGTCCCAGCGGGTTAGGCCCTCTGGGCCGAATGTGATTTCCCTGGCGAGACCTCCTCAAGCTAGGCCCCCCACCCCTTCTGGGCAAGCCTCAGCTTCAGGAACGGCGCCATGGAGCCCTCGCTTCATCCGAACAGACGGATCGTCTGTGAAGCCGACCGAGACCATGTTCAAAGATGGTCAGACCGCGATGGCCTACTACAGGAGTATGTGGACTCCCAAGGACATCGAGGTAGCCAAAGGTCTATCACAGAGGGAGGTGTTCAGCCGATTCCCCTTGTCTGCCATGGAGGTAACTTCTACCCCTTAGTCAATAAATCTTTACATACTCTTGCCAC